TATTAAACTAACCTCCCTTTACTATCTTATAGATAATATTAATAGATAAAGTTATAAAGATACTTAAGGAAGTTAGGTCCTAAAAGGTACTTAATATAAACGCTATACTAAATAGTATATTTATTAGCCTTTAAGATAAACTTATTATAAAGGTTATTATAATTATAAATATAAGCTAATAGCTAGGGTATTTCCTTTAGCTTTTTTATTATATTTAGATTATAGTTATTTTAAAACTAGATAAAGAAGATAAGTCTAATATTAAAAGCTAGCGACTTATTGCGCTTTTAGCGACTATTAATAAGATTATTAAAAAGATTATAGCTATATATATCTATAATATCGCTAAGATATTAAGACTACTTTATAATACCTAATATAAAAATTAATAAAGGTAGTCTATTAATTCTATCTTTTATTCCTTTATAGACTAAATCTATTTTACCTAAAAGGTAAAAGGTATTATTATAATACTTTTTTTAGATATTAATAATATTTTTAATATTATCTATTATATTTAGCTTATCGATATATTTTAAAGAATAAGCTTCCCCTTTTAGTTACTTTATTAGCTTTATTTATACCTTATTGACTATATAGTATCTTTATACTTTAATAGCTAGGAGTTAGAGGTATATTAGATCGACTATAAGGTACCTTAAGGTTCCCCTTTCTTATTTATTCTCTTTATTCTTTATATAATATCTCTTTATTTTAAACTTAATATAATAATAAAGATAATTCTTATTGCCTTTATTAATAATATTATAATTGTAACTTTCGCTAAGATAATACCTAAGATATATATTACTTTCTAATAAGCCTATAATATCTATTTATTATAGGCTAGATAATATAGAATTATCTTTAACTTAGCGAAATATTAATTTATAGTCTTTACTTATTAATATAACCTTTTATAGGCTCCCTTTAATATTAATATAATATTATTTTAACCTTAAGAATCTATTAAGTTTCTAAGTATTACCTTTATAAAGAAACTTTAATAAAAGATATACCTTATTATACTTAAGGAAAAGATTATTTATTAATACTTTACCTTTAAAAGAATAATAGTATCTATATAAGGCCCTAAACTCTATTATACTTAAGTAATCTACTTTAGTATTATTAAGGCCTTAATAATAATAAGAAGTATTATTTAATATATATTAATATTAAAGGGAAACCTTTTTAATATTATTAAATAACTCTTTATTATTAAAAAAATATACCTCTATTATATCTTAAATACCTATAAGTTAATACTTATTTAGGTACTTTATATTAAATCTTATATCCCCCCCCTCGATCTTTAGCTAGACTTTTAGTCTTATAGATTCTTATAATAGCTTAAAGTTAAATAGGTATTAAAGGGCTATTATTATAGACTTAATTATATCTAATAAATTATTACCTTATTGCTATAATATTAATAAAGATTAATACTCCCTTTCTTTATTATCTTTACCTTATTATAGAAAAGTTAAGCCTTTTTATAATAATAAGGGGGAAATAACTTATAATAAAAGCTTAATATTATTTAAATAAAGAGATATTAGATTAATATTGCTAAGATACTAATTAAATAACTTATATTACTCTTTAATATACTTTTAATAAAGACTATCTTATATCTCTATAAAGATCTCTTTAAATATAAGTCTATACTCTTAATATAGGTATATATAGAATATATTAGCCTTTAGGCTTACTTTCTCTAGCGATAAGTCTTAGATATCCTAACTCCCTATTATTAATATAATAATAATTAAGAATTAGCTAGATATCTCTTTATCTTCTATTTAAAATTTAAAGAAATTTATCTCTAGCTTCTTTAGAAACTCTAGCTTATTATTAACTTTAGCTATTTATTAAGCTTACCTTTAATAGCTAGGCTAATATATTAATAATTTCTTAATATTAGATATTTCTAGTCTTATAACTTAATAAGGAGACTTACCTAAAAGTAGGCTAATAATAATACCTAGATATTAGAGGTATAATGCCTCTATATCTATTCGCTTATTTTATAGCTTTATAGATACTCTTTTAAGTTTAGTAAATATTATTATAATATAGGTAGACTATTATATATATATATATTATATATCTATTTACTATTATTAATAGACTATTATATATATATATTATATATTTACTTACTATTATCCTCTACTTTATATTAATAAATATTAATGCGATATTAAATAGACTATTATATAGGTATACTATATATCTATTTATTATTATCCTTTACTTTATATTAATAAATATTAATGCAATATTAAATAGACTATTATATATATATATTATATATCTATTTACTATTATCCTTTACTTTATATTAATAAATATTAATGCGATATTAGGTAGACTATTATATATATATATTATATATCTATTAGCTATTATCCTTTATTTTATACTAATAAATACTACTTATATATCTTTAGGCTTTTAGTAATATAATTTTATTCTATTGCTATTACTATCTCCCTCTATTATATTACTAATATTAGGCTAATATAGCTATTAATTACTAATATACTATTAGCGCGCTATTTACTCCTTACTTAACTTAATCGATATTAATAATAATAGCTAGATTAAGTATATAAACCTCTATATATAAATTATTACTAACCTTAGCCTAAGGTACCTTAATCTTAGACTTACTATCGCTAATAACGATAATAAGGATAAGGTAGGGATAGAGATAGCGATATAAAGGTATCGCTAGGGTCGATATAATAATAATATTATTATTATCTAACTTAATCTTAATCTATTATAGTTAGTATTAATATTAATATAATAATATCCTAAGAACTTATTAGCTTCTAATCTTTATTAAAGGAGGTAAAAGCTACTATAATAGTAATATAAAGACTAATATAATAAGTCTTATTTATAAAAATAAGTTTATAGGTAATCTTAATTGCCTTAGTCTTATATTTAGCTATACTCTTAGCGAGGTATTTAAGCTCTACCTTATATAGCTTGCTAGCTATAACCTTATCTAATATAATCTATTAATTAGTCTTTAATACTTCCTATATAATAAATACCTTTAATATTATATTAAAAACCTATTATTAGTTAATATTTAGTCTAAAGTTAGCTTAATATTAAAGTAAACTTATTTAAAGATATAGTCCCCTCTATAGCTAATAATATAGATATTTATCGGACTAGATATTAATACTATAACTATACTTAAAGTACTTACCTTTACCTTATTAAAGGGGGTAATATAAGTAAGGAAACTTAAACTCTTTAATATCTTAATATTATTAATATTATATTAGATTAAGGTAGGGGAGACTTATAATAGCTATTATAATCTCTATATAAATAGATATCCTAGCGGTAGCGATAAAGATATAGGGATATTATTATTATTATTATAGCTACTAAGAGAAGATATAATAAGTAAGGAGAATTAATATACTATAATAGAGGTTAGCTAGAGATTACTATAAGGTTAAGTAGATATCTTATTATTAGCTACCTAGCATAAAGTAGCGAGGTAGCTAGGGTAAGTAAGACTTATTAGTAAGAGGAGGTAGTAAGAGATAGAGAGGGAAAGAAGAGAGAGAGAAAGAGAGGAAGAGAGGAGGGGGTTTTATAATTAGATAGGCAGGCAGCTAGCTATTAGCTAATAGGGCTACTAATAGCTACCTAGCTAGCGCCTATAGCTAGCGCCTTTAATTTAATACCTAGCTAAGACTAAAGTATACTTTACTTAAAGGTAGAATATATTTAGATTAATATTAAAACTCTAAGAGTAATTAAATAAATATACTTTAGTAAGTAAAGGTATACTTAAAAGGAGACTAAGACTTACTTATTATTTATAATATTAAGCTAGCTAGCCTAATAAATAAGGTATACTTTATTTAAGGGTAGAGTATATTTAGACTAATATTAGAACTCTAAGAGTAATTAGATAAATATACTTTAGTAAGTAGAGGTATACTCTAAAGGAAACTAAGACTTACTTATTATCTATAATATTAAGCTAGCTAGCCTAATAGGTAAGGTATATTTAGCTTAAGGGTAAAGTATATTTAGACTAATATTAAGACTCTAGGAGTAATTAAGTAAGTATATTCTAATAAGTAGAGATATATTTAAAAGGAGATTAAGATCTACCTATTATTAATAACGCTAAGCTAATAGACTTAATAGGTAAGGTATATTTAGCCTAAAGGTAGAGTATATTTAGACCGATATTAAGACTCTAAATAACTTAGGTACCTTTAGGCCCCTTTATATTAAGATAAGAATTTATACTCCTAATAGGGAGTAAGCCTATTAACTATTTCCTTAAGCTATAACCTTAGGTATATAGTATCGGTAATAAGACTAATCCCTATCCCCTATAAGAATATACTGACTTATATCTAACCTTTAGACTAGGTTTTTCCCTTTTTAGGTTTTCCTAGTTAATCTCCTAACTTTAGCCCTAGATAGTCTATTTAGGCTCTATTAGGTAATAATAATAATAATATATATATATAATAGCTATATTGCCTTCTTTATAATAAACTATAATAGGCTATTATATTATACCTAAAAAGGCTAAAAATAGTAACTTTATTATTTTTAGGTTTTTTATAGCGCGTAATACCGCTACTTAGAGACTAAAAAAGTAACTATTTTCTATATCTTTTTAATAAAAACTAATCCTTATTACTTATATATATATATATAATAGCTATCTTACCTTCTTTATAATTAGCTATAATAGGCTATTATATTATATTAATTAAAGCTAGAAATAGTTCTTTTATTATTTATTAGTTTTATTTAATATATAATATTATTACTAAAGAGGTTTAAAATAATAACTATTTTAAATACCTTTTTAATATTATATATATATATATATAATAGCTATGCTATTATATTAATAGGTAGCTATATAAGGCTATTATATTATATATATAAATAATAGTTTTATAATTATTAAGCTTTATATATTATTAATATTAGCCCCTATAGCTTAGTAGTTAAGGCCTTAAGACCTTCCTTAAGAGGTTATTAGTTCGAATCTAGCTAGGGGCGCCTAGCTTTTCTCTTATCTCTATATAGCATTTAGGGCACCCTATAAAGAGATAGCTAAAAATATAGCCTATAACCTATAATCTATATATTAAATAGGCTATCCTTTATTAGGGAGCGATTAGCTAGAATAGACTATCTAGCCTACTTTAAAACCTAATGAGATTCGGCGCTTTTATATACGCTAGCAAATAAACTACGATATAGGCATTACGAAATATATATACCCCTCTAGGGGATATCGCCCTATACTATATAAACGATTAAGGCTTATAAGATTTAGTATTAATAGTTAAGTCCCTTAGTTATATATAGAAATAATTCCTATCCCCCTTAAGCATAGAGCGATATGCTATTATAGGTTAGAAATAGATATCCGCTTAGGTTTTTTCTCCTATATTAGGTTTTCCTAAGAATCTTTAAACTTAAGGTCCTATATAGTCAGTTAGTTAAGATAGGCTTAAAATAGGTAATAATATAATATTATTAATATTATATAAATAGTATTATAATTATTTCTATAGGCTATATATTAATATAAGAGTAATATTATTATATCTATTTAAATTAGTAGTATATATAGATATACTATATTATATAATATCTATTTTTAGAAAGATTAATTTTAATCTTTTAATTAATTAAGTAGTTAGTTAGTTAATTAGACCTTTATTTTATTATTATTATTTATTATTACCTAGTAGAGCCTAGATAGAGTATCTAGGGCTAAAGTTAGGAGATTAACTAGGAAAACCTAAAAGGGAAAAACCTAGGCTAAAGGTTAGATAAAGGTCAGTATAGTCTTATAGGGGATAAGAATCGGTCTTACTACTGATATTACGCGCCTAGGGTTATAATATAAGGAAATAGTTAGTAAGCTCTCTCCCTATTAGGAGTATAAATTCTCGTCCTAGCATAAAGGGGGGCCCTAAGGTGCCTAAGTTATCTAGAGTCTTAATATCGGTCTAAATATACTCTACCTTTAAGCTAAGTATACCTTACCTACTAGGTCTACTAGCTTAGCGTTATAAATAGCGAGTAGGTCTTAGTCTCCTTTTAAATATATCTCTGCCTACTAGAGTATACTTACCTAATTGCTTAAGGCAGTTTATCGGCAGATAGATATATAATATATATATATAATAGTCTACCTAACGTTATAATAATATCTACTAAACTTAAAAAGAATATTAATAAAGCTATAAAATAAGTAAATAGATATAGAGGCGCTATACCTTTAATATCTAGGTATTATTATTAGCCTACTTTTAGGTAAGTCTCCTTATTAGGTTATAGGATTAGAAATATCTAATATTAAGAAATTATTAATATATTAGCTTAGCTACTAAAGGTAAGCTTAATAAGTAGCTAAAGTTAGCAATAAGCTAGAGTTTTTAAAGAAGCTAGAGATAAGTTTCCTTAAGTTCTAGGTAAAAGATAAAGAGATATCTAGCTAATTCCTAACTATTACTATATTAATAATAAGGAGTTAGGATATCTAGGACTTATCGCTAAAGGAAGTAAGCTTAAAGGCCGATATATTCTATATATACCTATATTAAGAATATAGACTTATATTTAAAGAGATCCTTATAGAGATATAAGATAGTCTTTATTAGAAATATATTAAAGGGTAATATTAATTATTTAATTAATATCTTAGCGATATTAATTTAATATCTCTTTACTTAAATAATATTAAGCATTTATTATAGGTTATTTCCCTTTTATTATTATAAGAGGGCTTAACTTCTCTATAATAAGGTAAGGGTAATAAGGAAGGGGAGCGCTAATCTTTATTAATATTATAATAATAAAGTAATAATTTATTAGATATAATTAAGTCTATAATAATAGCCCTTTAATACCTATTTAACTTTAAGCTATTATAAGAACTTATAGGACTAAAGGTCTAGCTAGAGATTAAGGGGGGGATATAGGATTCTATATAAAGTACCTAAATAGGTATTAACTTATAGGTACCTAAGATATAATAAAGGTATATTTTTTTAATAATAAGGAATTACTTAGCGATACCTAAAGGGGTTCCCTTTAATATTAATATATATTAGATAATACTTTTTATTATTATTAAGGCCTTAATAATATTAAAGTAGATTACTTAAATATAATAGAGTTTAAGGCCTTATATAGATATTATTATTCTTTTAAAGGTAAAGTATTTATAAATAATCTTTTCCTTAAATATAATAAAGTATACCTTTTAATAGAGTTTCTTAATAAAAGTAATACTTAAAAACTTAATAGATTTTTAAAGCTAAAATAATATTATATTAATATTAAAAGGAGCTTATAAAAGGTTATATTAATAAATAAAGACTATAAGTTAATATTTTATTAAATTAAAGATAATATTATATTATCTAGCCTATAATAGATAGATATTATAGGCTTATTAAAGGGCAATATATATTTTAGGTATTATCTTAATAAAGGCTATAATTATAATATTATTAATAAAGATAATAGGAATTATCTTTATTATTATATTAAGTTTAAAATAAAGAGATACTATATAAAGAATAAAGAGAATAAATAAAAAAAGGGAACCTTAAGGTACCTTATAGTCGGTCTAATATACCTCTAATTCTTAGCTATTAAAGTATAGAGATATTATATAATCGGTAAGGTATAAATAAAGCTAATAAAATAACTAAAGGGGAAAGCCTATTTTTTAAAGTATATTAATAAGCTAAATATAAAAGATAATATTAAAAGTATTATTAATATCTAAAAAGAATATGATAATAATACCTTTTACCTCCTAAGTAAAATAAATCTAGTCTATAAAGGAATAAAGGGTAGAGTTAATAAATTACTCTTATTAATTCCTATATTAAATATTATAAAATAGTCTTAATATCTTAATAATATTATAGATATATATAGCTATAATCTTTTCGATAATCTTATTAATAGTCGCTAAAAGTATAATAAGTCGCTAGCTCTTAATATTAGACTTATCTTCCTTATTTAGTTTTAAAATAACTATAGTCTAAATATAATAGAAGAGCTAAGGGAAATACCTTAGCTATTAGCTTATATCTATAATTATAATAACCCTTATAATAAGTTTATCTTAAAGGCTAATAAATATATTATTTAATATAGTATTTATATTTAGTGCTTTTTAGGACCTAACCTCCTTAAGTATCCTTATAACTTTATTTATTAATATTATTTATAAGATAATAAGAAGAGATTAATCTAATATTATTAAGTTAAGGTTAGAAAGATTAAGCGCTAATATTAAGAAGAAAGAGGCTATAAATATAGCTACCTTCTCCCTAAAGTATATATATTATCTACTTTATATCTAAAGCGCTAAGATAAGGTTTAATATAGCTATCTATTAGCTTTTAAGGAAGGCCTATTTAATAATCTTTTAGATCCTTTAAGGGTTTTAAGAGAGGTTATAAAGAATTTAGCGCTAAATAGATTATTAGGTAGCCTAAATAGTCTACCTCTAAGCTTATTATAACTCTTAAAATATAGTCTAGGATACTTTAAAGTAGTTATTTTCCTATATATATATTTAATATAGGCTATAGCTACTATTATATCCTATATAGCTAGATTCTATTAAGTATTTTATAGAGGCCTTCCTTATAATATTAAGATAACCTTAGATATAATATCCTTAATAGCCTAAATAAGCTTATAATAATATACTTTAAGTTCGATAGGGCTATTAAAGGGGCTAGATATAGGAAGCTAATAAGCCTTAATAATAAAGTCTTTTTATTAAAGCTACTTTTAATAAAGTTATAAGGGTTAGGTATTATAGGCCCTTAAGGCCTAGATAATTAGGCCTTAAGGGATATAATTAGATCTAATAAGGGGAATATCTAAAAAGAGCTTATAATAAAGTCCTTTTATAACTTAAAGGAGGTTAATAATTATAATAGTATTATTTTAATATTATATCTTTAACCTTTAAGGAATTATTAAAGAAAGGTTCTAAGCTAAGATAACCTTAAAGAGCTATCTAAAGCTATAGTAAATTCTATCTCCTAGCCCTTAGATAAGGTTATAAAGGTTAAAATTATTAATAAAGAAAGTCTAAGATTAGCTTAAAAGTTAAAGGAGCTTAAAGAATAATAAAGTCTAGGTATAAATAGAAAGGGAAGATAGCGATAATATATAGATAGAGAAGATAATAATACTTAAGGCTAAGTCTATCTTAATCTTAATACTATATTAATCTAAGGATATAAAGTATTAAAGGATATAGAGTATTAATTAATAATATATAACTACTTAATAATATAAATTAGTTATAATAATAATATTATAACCTAAATATCTAAAGTAAGATATTTAATTATTAGTCTATAATAGCTTTTATATATAAATAATATTATATTATTATTAAAGGGCTAAAGTAAGATTATCTTACCTTAGGTTTATATTTTATTATAAGATAGAGAGCTTACTTATAAGGGCGATTTAAGGGATAAAGTAAGTAAAGAGTCCTCTTATTTATCTATAATATTAAAATATTCTTTAAGAGGGCTAAATTAGTTTAGGTCTACCTTCTTTATATTATTAATATAAATATATTCTAGGCTAGCTACTTAGGATTTAAGCACTATCTATAATTAGCTTATTAATTAAGGGGTCTTTAAGGTAATATTATTTATTAAAGGGAAAGTTAAAACCTTAATATTTATATTAAGGAATAAAGTAATATTACCTTATTAACTAATAGTAATTATAAGGCTAGAGGGCTATCCCTATTTCCTTAGTTAGGGATTTAAGGAGATATAGTTCTAAGGGGATAGTAATAAGGGTCTAGTCTAGCTAGTATCTAGACCTTAGAATTATAATAGAATAATAAAGGTTTAAGGTTAGGCTATAAAGGTAGCGCGCGACTTTATCTTTATATTTCTCTACTTAGCGCACTTAAGTGCCCTTAAGTAATACTAGCTATAGCAATTCGCATAATAATGCTATATAGAGTCTTCCCTAATTAAGTATTA